TGTATATATACCCTCTTCGGGCATTTGCTTGTTAGTTGTAAGTCCCCTTTGGTCTGTGATTCGATTCCCCCCGGAGGAGGGTGTGCTACTCGGATTGTTTGGCCCATTCGAGATGACTGAGGCTCGTATAAATCTGTCTAGTCTATATACATATATATATATATATATATATAGCAGCCGTTCACGCGAAACTAAACCCTAACCGATGGTGAATGAAGATAATGGATATTGAACAGTCAATTTTTTTTACGGAGCGATAGGACTGAGCGTTACAATGTTTTTTTTTTTTTTTTGAATGTTTTGCTTGGTGAGGGTCGTGGCATGTGACAAAATAGGCGGGAAAATAACAAATAAAACTTTTCCAACGAAAAGAGCTGGGTCAGGCCGATCGCACATTAAGAAAAAGCTTAATTTTGTGTTTTTTTTCCCTGTGGGATCCACAATTACATGACATTGTTCTTATTCGTGTCCGAACACAGAGCTGCATCCAGAATTCAGATCGAATATTTTTCCCAACATGGGTGCGCTCCTAACTGGGTTGGATCAAAGTGTAGATTATATCTTTAAGTTTATAGTAAGTTTTTGCATATGTGTGTATGCGTTTGTGAATACCTAAAAGTTGATCTCAGAAGATACAACATTTAGAAAAACAAAATTAAAATAATTTAAATTGAACACGAATGAAACTAATGAGTCATATCTAAATAGATTACATATATATATATATATATATATATATTTATAATTTTAAATTTATAAAATGTAACTTTTTTTTAATTATTGCTAATTATAGTCATTTTTTTTATCGGGCTCAAAGTGCCCATTTTTTGGTAGGCCTGTTTGTATATAGGGTTGTCAAAATGGCTCGTGGTTCGTGAATTGCTAGTGTTCGATTTCTTTAAGAAGCTTGTGTTCAACTTGTTTGCTAGGTTAATAAGCCAAACACGAACAAAGATTTGTTCGTTCGTATTTCGGCTCGTTTTGGCTCGAAATACTACTAATCAATTATATATATATTTTTTATGAGAAGTGTTTTTAAAAAAAATTAATTGACCACAAGACTACAGAGATTTATAATCAAATAAAAGTATTAATTAAGAAAATAGAATAAAAATTATTAATTAGATCTAAATAATATTTTAATATAAACAATAATTTTGAAATCTTGCACCAATTCTTAACATTTTATGGTTTCGTGATTAAGGTTGCCAAAACTATTAATTAAGAAAATAGAATAAAAATTATTAATTACATCTAAATAATATTTTAATATAAACAATAATTTTTAAATCTGACACCAATTCTTGACATGTTATAGTTTCGTGATTAGGATTGTTAAAACGACTCTAAATGAGCTGAACACTACCACATTTTTGAGTTTCAAATATAAACTTGCAGATTTTGACTGTACTTCTGGTGTGTATGAGTAGCTTTGTTCGTGAACGACTCGTGTTCGGCTCGCTAAATAAATGAGCTGAACACGACCACAGTTTTTAGTTTCAAATATAAACTTGCAGATTTTGACTGGACTTCTGATGTGTATGAGTAGTGATACAATATTTTTTCGTGGAGAAGCCCGCCGACTTGAAGGCCCTTAGGACGACATGGAGCACGATGATCGGCACGTTTAGTCCATATCTCTTGTATAATTGTATTCCCCCGCCTCTTCAGGTCACGCTTCTCATGATTTTTCCTCGACAAATTTTCTCAACTAAGCCTTTTACTTCGTCTTCTTCCCCATCTCCTCCCCCTTTTGGAAGTCCACAAACCCTTCTCAAGAGCTGCATCATTCCCTGCGTCCGATCCCTTAACCTATTCCTCTCCTTTCTCCTAAGAAGCCGAAAGTTTACTCTTCTTCTCGAGACATTCTCTCAATTCTCCTCCAACTCCATTCAGATCGATTCTAAAACTCATTTCTTGATCACCCGCGCTCTCCTCAAATCCCGCCGCTTCGAAGAGGCGCTGCAGTTCATTTACCCCGCTGACAATTACAATTTTGTCGTGAAAAAGAGCTTATGGGATTCTCTGATCCGCGAACTTTGCGTCGCGGGAGGCGACCCAGAGAGGTCATTGTCTCTGTTGCACGAATGCATGCGAAATCGAGGTATTTTGCCCGCACTCATAACTTTCCGCTCCTTGGTTTTATCATTCAGCTCACAGGGTAGGATGGAGAAGGCCATCGAAGCGCTGGAAATAATGACTTCTGAGGAAGTCGGATACCCTTATGATAATTTTGTCTGCAGTTCGATAATCTCTGGGTTTTCTAGGATCGGGAAGTCCGAGCTTGGTTTAGGGTTCTACGAGAGAGTACAAAAGAGCCTAACTTTTCAGCCTAATTTGATGACTTATACGGCTGTGGTAGATGCATTATGCAGAGTAGGAAGAATTGATGAAGCTTCCGTTGCTGTTCAGAAGATGGAGAAGGATGGTATAGTTTTAGATGCTGTTCTTTATACTAGCTGGATCTGTGGATATTTCCGAAAAGGGCTGTTGATGGAAGCTTTTAGGAAACATAGGTTGATGTCTGAAAATGGAATATTACCGGATTTGATCAGCTATACTTCTGTCATTGATGGCTTGTGTAAGGAAGGACATTTAGAAAAGGTGATTGGATTGCTAAAATATATGGAGAAGAGCAGGTTGAAACCAAATTTGATTACATATACATGTATTATAAGAGGTTTCTGCAAGAGATACAAGATGGAGGATGCATTCTTCATTTTCAGGAAAATGGAAGAATTGAATATTGTTGCAGATGAGTTTGTCTATTCAGTTTTGATTGATGGGTTTTGTGTTATTGGGAAATTAGATGAAGTTTTTGAATTACTAGAAGAAATGGGCAGAAAGGGGATTAAAGCGACTGCTATGACATACAATACAGTGGTCAATGGCTTGTGTAAAGCTGGAAAAACGTGCAAGGCAGATGAGATATCTAGAAACTGTGTTGGTGATAATTTTACATATAGCACCCTGTTGCATGGTTATATGATGGAAAAGGATGCACGAGGAGTGTCTGACACAAAGAAGAGATTGGAGCAGGCTGGAATTTCTTATGATGTAGTTACAGTCAATATACTCATTAAAGCTCTCTTCATTTCAGGCATGGTTGATGATGCTTGTTCTCTTTTCCAAGAAATGCGAGATAAATATCTTATTGCAGATTCCTCTATGTATTGCACAATGGTGGATTGTTACTGTAAACATGGAATGTCTGGCAGGGCGGTTGAGGTATTTATGGATTACAAAAGTACTCCTGCATTTGTAAACGATGCATGTCATAACTGTATGATTGTGGAACTTTGCAAAGAAGAAAAGTTAGAAATGGCAACAGAACTGTTTCTGGAACTATGTCAAAAAAATTTTGTTGCAGATACTATTACTTATAGAAAGTTGATGAAGGCCAAATTTGAAGATGGTAATTGGGAGGCAGTTCTGAAATTGATCTCAAGGGTTGAAAGGTGTAATTCTGAAATACTGTCTTCCATATGCAATGATTCTGTTTCTTTCTTATGCAATAGGCAGTGTTTTCCAGCTGCATTGGAAGTTTACATCTTGATGAGATTGAAAGGTTTGACAGTTTGGAGTAAATCATACTATATTCTCCTGAAGAACCTTATAAATAGTGGAAATGGTTTGATCATTGAACTGATTTTCTGTGACTATATAAAGGCCTGCGGGGTTTTTGAGCCTCGGATAGTAAACATTATCTGTCTTTACCTTTGCAAAAAGAATGTGGAAGAAGCGATTCGTTTTTTACCCAGCTTGAGCAAAAGAAATATATCTCTTAGTGTTATGACGGTAGTTGTCAATACTTTGAAGGAAAAGGGCAGAGTTGAAAATGCACTTAATTTTCTTTTGGAAGCAAAAGAAAGCAGCGTTGCTGCAGATGTAGTAGTATATTCTATCATTGTGGATGGACTTTGCAAGGCAGGCTCTCCTGAGAAGGCTTTAGATATTTGTTCAAGAATGAGAAAGAAGGGTATATCTGCAAATATTGTTACCTACAACTCAGTGATTCATGGTCTGTGTCGTGAGGGATGTTTAGTTGAGGCATTCAGGATTTTCGATTCTCTAGAGTGCAATGGTTTTTTTCCTACGGTTGTTACTTATGCCACTCTTATAGGTGCTTTAGCTGAAGAAGGTTTCCTTCAAGATGCAAAGGAGTTGCTAGGAAGAATGGCTGTTAAAGGCATCTCTCCTAATATTCACATTTTCAACTTGCTTATAAATGGATATTGCAGATTTGGTCTTTTAGAGGAAGGCATGCAATTATTCAAAGATTTGACAGTGTTCTCCTTGGAACCAGATGACCTCACTATAAGTTCTCTTATATATGGCTACTGCATCAAAGGTGATATGCAAGCTGGCCTGGATTTCTACAATATGTACAGAGTGAAAGGATATTCACCTGATTTTTTTGGTTTTTTAAATTTGATTAAAGGACTTTCTGCCAAGGGAAGAATGGAGGAAGCAAGAAGCATTATCAGAGACATGCTGCAACATAGAGAGTCTGTAGACCTCATAAACCAAGCCGGTGATGGTTTGAATTTTGAATCTTTAGCAACTGATGTTAAGCTTGCGTGTGAAGAGGGACGAATTAGAGAAGTCATTAATATTTTAGCTGATGTAGGTTCCAAGTTTTGCAATTCACCGTGGTCTAAAAACTGCAATAGAATTAAGCAGTCCATAGAAGCTTTCTGTACAGATACTAAGAAAAAAGTTTGCACCGGTGGAGGCCTAACAATGCCTGCGGCTGCCAGAAATATTTTGCAATTTGGAGAAGATGGCATTACAGAGGGAAAACCAGTGTTTTGCAAGAACAAGATTTCCAATTCTGTGATGAATGAGTATGAAATTTTGTGTCAGAGCTCTCTCAAGTATGACTTTGAGGCTTACTACTCTATGATTGCAACACTCTGTTCAAAAGGTGAGTTGCAAAAGGCCAATGATATAGTCAAAGCAACTATTCTGAATTTAGGAAAGGAGCATTAAGTCAGCTCTTTTGTAAATTGGTTTTTAGGGCAAACACATGTCAAATTAGTTTGATTTTCCACGGGTAAATAAACAATTCTATCATTCTTTTTCAATATGTTTTCATTAGAATCCCTTCTAGCTACATTTTTTTCAGCATTATTTTGTTGGTGTGATGCATGAACATGGCGATGGGATCATACATATGACAGGCATCAAACACTCAAGTTTTATAAAGGGACATGGATTGGACACGTCAATATATATATTAGTCCTGTTAAAGGTAAGTTGGGCTCTCTCATAAGCATTCATGTAAGATAAGATTATTTTTCCTCACACATCTCTCGGGAGGTTGTCGTGACTAAACTAACTAGAGCACGTCAACTTGATGCACTACAAAGTGAAGACCGTGTCTTAATTTGATTTGTTTGGAACTGTGGGTCTTAACATCTCAATGCTATAAATTAGTTCATTTTGATGCAATGTCATCTATGTTGGTTTGTTGTATGTTGTCATTGTTGGGTTCCAAGTCCTGGATGTGAAAAATGGAGAGTCTTGTTAGATTGTCAACGACTAGCATAAAAATTATGTTGAAAAATATGACATGAATCCTAGATTGGAAGATGAAAAATACAACAAATATTGTCATTGAATTAGTTAGGAGCACTTAATGGTCTTTATAATAGATTAAATATCAATGAGGGTAATATATATATATATATATATTAGCGAAACTAAGAAATAAGAAAAGTGAAGATTTATTTCAAGTAAAATGTATTAATGATGAAAATCAAAAAGTAATTTTCTATTTTTTAAATGCATCTGATGCCAATGATAATGTAATTTACTTCAATATGCCTGTACTTTAATTGATATTCATATTACAAATAGCTCATATGAAGTTTAGTGTTTGGTTCTATTTGCATAGGAAGCAACATTAGAGGTGTTCTGAACTTTCATCTACCAAGTCCTGGATGTGAACAATGGAGAGTCTTGTTGGATTGTCAACGACTCGCATAAAAATTATGTTGAAAAATATGACATGAATCCTAGATTGGAAGATGAAAAATACAACAAAATATTGTCATTGAATTAGTTAGGAGCACTTAATGGTCTTTATAATAGATTAAATATCAATGAGGGTAATATATATATATATATATTAGCGAAACTAAGAAATAAGAAAAGTGAAGATTTATTTCAAGTGATGAAAATCAAAAAGTAATTTTCTATTTTTTAAATGCATCTGATGCCAATGATAATGTAATTTACTTCAATATGCCTGTACTTTAATTGATATTCATATTACAAATAGCTCATATGAAGTTTAGTGTTTGGTTCTATTTGCATAGGAAGCAACATTAGAGGTGTTCTGAACTTTCATCTACTCACCATTGTCATACTATTAAAGAGACAATATTCATGCTCCAGTCACAAAATTAAGTTGATGTAGCTGAATATTTTGTTTGATAAAACCAAATCATGGTCGTCGAATCAACTGACGATTGCCAACAAAGCTATGCATATCATTATCAAGGACTTCTTTGATAGCTATGAAGATGAGTTGTTCTATGGCTTAATTGAGTTTGCCATTATATTCAAATCCATTGGCTGCAACTGACTCGTTATTCTAACTTGATCATGCCCAATTGGTGTTTGATTTTGATCTGAATAAGCTTATTGGGCTTGTTCCGATGATTTGAATGCATCAAAGTAGTCAGATCAGTAGATGATTTGTGCTCATCATAAATTTATGTGGGTGATTATTTCAATGGCTTTCATGCACTTTAAATCATTTCAATTATTTTAAATTCTTCTGTAAATTTTAGGTATGTTTTGTGCCATATTTTGTTTCATTTAAGTTCTTAGTTGACTATGGACATATTCGTTATTGGCAGCACCTGTTTCAACGTTGTTGACGTTGAAAATCTATTAAAATTTGCTACTATTATTAATCAAGTTTGTATAGACTTGATTAATATTGTTATAATTTAAACCTTTCAAGCACTTCTAATTGTGATTCTTCCCGCTAAACCTCACAACTTCAATAACTCAGTGCTCGTGCTCCCACTTCCCTATTTGCAATGCTTTTACTTTCTCTGAAGGATAAATCGTGACTCCCATTTTTCCATCTCTTTGACCACACCAAAGTCACATAAAATTCACCTTTCTGTCGCTTTCGCCTTCAGCACGAAATAACATCCATTTCTCCTCTTCTTCGACTTCGCTACAACAGTAGGGTCGTGGCATATAGAGACCTTCGAAACCTTCAGTTCCTTCGGGTGACCAGAAGTTATCGCCTCCTCAAACCGTTAAAGGCCTTGCTGCCTCTTATGATTGAAGACAGGATTGCATCGTACAAACCTCTCGATTTTTTGCCTTCGTCCTTTTGTGTGTTTCATGCTTCGCCCCTCACGGACAATAGAAACACCTAAATCCTTTTCACCTCCTCCGTCGTTGTTGTGATTCGAGCTTTGCTCCTCCTATGCACACGACCCAGCCGCCAATACCTCTTATGATTAAAGACCTTCGAATCCTTTTCAATATAGAGACCACCGTGTCTTAATTTGATTTGTTTGGAACTGTGGGTCTTAACATCTCAATGCTATAAATTAGTTCATTTTGATGCAATGTCATCTATGTTGGTTTGTTGTATGTTGTCATTGTTGGGTTCCAAGTCCTGGATGTGAAAAATGGAGAGTCTTGTTAGATTGTCAACGACTAGCATAAAAATTATGTTGAAAAATATGACATGAATCCTAGATTGGAAGATGAAAAATACAACAAAATATTGTCATTGAATTAGTTAGGAGCACTTAATGGTCTTTATAATAGATTAAATATCAATGAGGGTAATATATATATATATATATTAGCGAAACTAAGAAATAAGAAAAGTGAAGATTTATTTCAAGTGATGAAAATCAAAAAGTAATTTTCTATTTTTTAAATGCATCTGATGCCAATGATAATGTAATTTACTTCAATATGCCTGTACTTTAATTGATATTCATATTACAAATAGCTCATATGAAGTTTAGTGTTTGGTTCTATTTGCATAGGAAGCAACATTAGAGGTGTTCTGAACTTTCATCTACTCACCATTGTCATACTATTAAAGAGACAATATTCATGCTCCAGTCACAAAATTAAGTTGATGTAGCTGAATATTTTGTTTGATAAAACCAAATCATGGTCGTCGAATCAACTGACGATTGCCAACAAAGCTATGCATATCATTATCAAGGACTTCTTTGATAGCTATGAAGATGAGTTGTTCTATGGCTTAATTGAGTTTGCCATTATATTCAAATCCATTGGCTGCAACTGACTCGTTATTCTAACTTGATCATGCCCAATTGGTGTTTGATTTTGATCTGAATAAGCTTATTGGGCTTGTTCCGATGATTTGAATGCATCAAAGTAGTCAGATCAGTAGATGATTTGTGCTCATCATAAATTTATGTGGGTGATTATTTCAATGGCTTTCATGCACTTTAAATCATTTCAATTATTTTAAATTCTTCTGTAAATTTTAGGTATGTTTTGTGCCATATTTTGTTTCATTTAAGTTCTTAGTTGACTATGGACATATTCGTTATTGGCAGCACCTGTTTCAACGTTGTTGACGTTGAAAATCTATTAAAATTTGCTACTATTATTAATCAAGTTTGTATAGACTTGATTAATATTGTTATAATTTAAACCTTTCAAGCACTTCTAATTGTGATTCTTCCCGCTAAACCTCACAACTTCAATAACTCAGTGCTCGTGCTCCCACTTCCCTATTTGCAATGCTTTTACTTTCTCTGAAGGATAAATCGTGACTCCCATTTTTCCATCTCTTTGACCACACCAAAGTCACATAAAATTCACCTTTCTGTCGCTTTCGCCTTCAGCACGAAATAACATCCATTTCTCCTCTTCTTCGACTTCGCTACAACAGTAGGGTCGTGGCATATAGAGACCTTCGAAACCTTCAGTTCCTTCGGGTGACCAGAAGTTATCGCCTCCTCAAACCGTTAAAGGCCTTGCTGCCTCTTATGATTGAAGACAGGATTGCATCGTACAAACCTCTCGATTTTTTGCCTTCGTCCTTTTGTGTGTTTCATGCTTCGCCCCTCACGGACAATAGAAACACCTAAATCCTTTTCACCTCCTCCGTCGTTGTTGTGATTCGAGCTTTGCTCCTCCTATGCACACGACCCAGCCGCCAATACCAAAACCGAAGCTTTCTATTTACAAAATCAAAAGTCACATAAATCCTTCATTATTTCATCCTCTGTCTCCCCCCTCTGTCATTTTTCTTCACCATAGCAACAACAAAGCATTAATCCCACTACATGTGGTCGGCTACATGAATCCTTTTTCTCCATTGTGTTATATTTAGTGCATCCTATTTGGTGTCATATTTTCATTTAATTCTAATAAATTAAGATCATTTTTTATACAATTAAGCCCAAGTCTTCCTAGGTGTACCTCTGCCTTTCTTAACATAAGTCGAATTTAAAACATCTACTCTTCTGATCGGATCATCACATTGTAGACATTTAATGTGACCAAACCTTCTAAGACAACTTCTCTAATTTTGTCCTTCACTGGAGCTACAACAACCCTATCACGGATATATTCATTTCACATTTTGTCTCTAAGTGTAAAGCCACTCATCCACCTAATCATTCTCATCGCGGCAACACTTAACTTAGTATTATGCTTCCCTTTGAAAGGCCAACATTCAGCGTCATAGAGCATTGCAGGTCTTACCACCATCTTATAAAATTTTCCTTTCAGTCTAAGAGGTAATTTTCTATCACACAAAAGGCCCGAAACATTCCTCCACTTCAACCAACCAACTTGAATTCTACTATTAACATCCCCATCTATATCACCATCCCATTGAACAACAGATCATCGCGGCAACACTTAACTTAGTATTATGCTTCCCTTCTGGCTTGTCGTTCGCGAACAGCTCTTGCTCGGTTCGTGTTCGGCTCGTTCGTTAAGAAACGAACACGAGCTTATTTCAAACAAACTAAATTTTAAACGAACTGAACACGAACACAAGCTTTGTTCATTCGTGTTCGGTTCGTTTACACCCCTAAACATCACCATCACCATCATTTTGAAATATAGACTCTGAGATATCTAAAATATTCACTCCTTTTGATGATTTGATCACCCATTAGTACAACTCTACCACTGGTAGAGTTAGTACTACTAAAATTACATTCCATGTATACAATTTTAATTCTACTCAAATGAAGGCCTTTAAACTCCAATGTAGACCTCCATAATTCAAGTTGTTCCTGGGCTTTTTCTCTCTTCTTATCCACGAGAAGGATATCATCAGCAAAAAACATACATCAAGATACATTCTCTGTAAATGTCCAGTAAGACCATCCATAACTAAAGCAAAAAGATATGGGCTTAAAATCGATCTTTGATGTAATCCAACAGAAATAGAAAAATATTTGGTCAATCCTCCTTCAATTCGAACACAAGATCTCTAGCATACATATCTTTAATGACTTGAATATAAGTCATATCAACACCTTTCTTCTCAAGAACTCTGCAAA